GGGAGGGGCACCCCGGCACCGGCACATCGGGTGCCCGGGACAGCCGGGATCGCCACTACCCCGTCACCCCCCGGGAGCGGGGCTGCAGCCGCCACGAGGCTCCGGGGCTCTGGATGGCCACGGGGCTCTCGGTGACCACAAAATGGCGGGGGGGTGTCAGCGCTGCCGGCAGCACTGCGGCACTGCGAGTATGGAGGCGCTGGCACCAGGCTGCGGGACGCTACAGCAGGCAGGTCAACCGCACTGCAGGAGGGGTCAGTCCAGCGGGTGGAGTGTCCTCGGGTGGAGGAGGATAAAGCCTGGCTCAACTCTGCTCTGCCAAGCAGTTGGTGCCGATTGCTCTAAGGGGCTTCAGACAAGGATGGAATTTTTGCAACCGTGATAGTACATCCTGGGGAGGGCAGAGAAACCAGCAGACACCTGTGGGAGTCAAAGATAAGAAAGCTGAGAAACTTCACAAAGCAGTAAGCCTTAGATGAAACAAAGACTCAGAGTTTATGGCAAGGACACTAGGAGACACCTCTTCAGCAGCCACTTAGGGACGAACACAGACCAACAAAAACCCCCATGGAAGCCCCTCAGAGACCCTTCCCCAAATTTTAGTACACTTGAGCAATGTATTAACATATGCACTAGTTTCCCTGGAAATAAGCAGGTACTTCTCAGAAATTACAGCAATGTTCATTTCTTGTACTGTCTTTGCGTTTCAGTGTGCACATTAGGTAGAATGATCCCCTGTGCACCCAGCAATGAAGCATGCCAGCCTTCTAAAACTTTGAACCAAGTCTGAGGGAGTTCTTTTGAGACCAAATTTACAGTAACACCAAGGGCTGCGCAAGGTATCATTCCATCTGTGGAAAGAAGGCCCACAGACAAAGGACCTGATCCATTGCAAGAAGGCTGCTGAAGAAGATTGCAAGCACTCAAATTCTTTGATAATAGGTTTTATATAAGATGACCAATTTAGTGCATGGGATCTTTTACATCTGTTCTCAATAACGACCAGAATCTTGGTAAAGTTTCAGCCCAGTAGTTAATTTTACCTAATGAAGTTAAGTCATCTTGATACCAGTTTCTCATTCCCAGGTCTGAACAGTTGCCAGGACTCAGAAAAGCTGCAATATGATGTGGGGACTTCCACAACAGCTGCCATGAACTACTGACATTGCTGCCATGTGTCATCAACACCTTAATGGTTAACAAGTTAAGAGGAAAAACCAGCACTCTCCTCCTGCCTCAGTGTCCAGGAGGAAATAGTCTTAATCTCCAGTGAAAGAAGCTACCAAAACATTTACCTGGTGATCTTAGGTCCATTCAGCACACGCAATTAGATTTAAAAAAAAAAAAACAAAAACAACCAAACAAAAAAAACCCAAAGAAAACCACCACAAAAAAGTCAAACAAGAAAATCATGTTCTAGAAACAAATTCAGTGAATACTAAGAAAATGTATTAACCTGTTTTCTGGAGGATACTCACAAATTTTGAAAACTCCATTCTTCCTACAGATGCTTAATTCTCGGATTAAAAGCAATACTCAGGTTTTAGAATTACACTGTATTTCAAGTATTGCTTCTCTTTTGACTGTGTGCACATATTACCTGAAGTTCATACAAGAATGACACTAGAAGAAATTAAAGGTGACTACACTATTTAGTGTAGAGTTATCTGCTAGGACTGTAGCTTTGAGCTTTTGGTACTTTCTCAACCTCTAGACACTAACAAATATATCTTACAGTAGAAATATAGTGTGGACCTGATCCATTGCTGGAATCTGTTTAAGAATGAACAAACAGACAAAGAGATTATAAATATATAACTGTATTTTATTTTTAATATTAAATATTTTTAAATTACAAGCAGTTTCTTGAATCACACTATGCATGATAATCAATATACAGTAGAAATTACAATTTAAAAATGTACACAATTTAAAGACATTTTGACCTGAAATTTCATTAACTATGATATATTGCCATAAACCTCATACCTGTATTAAATTACAATAGGAAAACCTCATACCTATGATTTTGTTACATAGTTTCTCATTTACAAATAGAATTAAACATTATATATACACACACACATCAGTACCATTTATCATTTAAGTTACACCTACATCTGTGCAAGTTCAAACAATTTCATAAACAAAACTAACTGTAAGTCATATTCAAGTTTCTGAAAAACAGGCTGCTGGTATTACAAATACTTATTTTCAATAAGTTTATATGATGTTTGACTCTCCTCTAGATTTTTTTCCAGTCTTGTACCAAACCCATTAACATACAATGATATTTCTGTATGACTTAAAGCTGAAGTAATTTTGTACACTCCATTCTTATTTAAGGCTATTTCTTATAAGGCTAATATACTTGGATTCCACCTTTCACCAACTCCAACAAAAATAGCCATGTCACTAACACCTGACAATGCTGACATTTTAGCATAGTGCTTAATCATAAAAAAAAGTCTTTCTACCAACGAGCCTCCTCATGAAAAAGATTGAGTACTACATAAAAATCTGCTAAAAATACTGATAAAAAGAATGAGGCTTAAATGGCTTTCATTAGTGCATCAATAAGGATATGAAAAAATGTTTAATCTGTTCATTTCCATGAAAATGGCAGTTTCCATAAATGCAGTTATACACGCAACATATCTGCAGCTTGGGGATTTGGGAGAGTACAGGTGTTCCCATTAAAACTGGACACTCTTCTTGCTCTGTTGGCTTCTCACTACAGATCCTCATTTTTAAACAAGCTTCCTTAGGTGGGAGAAATCAGATCTTTTAAATAACTTTAGTAGCCAAATTGAGACAATGCCTTCATTATTCAAATAATCAAGGTATTCTACTAGAGAAGGAATTAAAATGTAACCAGTCCTCATAATAAACCACTGAAAATAGATACATGTATTTCTAAAACAAAACCATGCTCATGTAGCTAGTGCAAGAAATTACATATAGTTTAATGAATGATTTCTAACAAATCCCCTTATTATAATGTAACGTTGAAATTACTGATTCATTTTCATTGTGCCACTGACTGCTAAGCAGATATTCAAATATTGCTAGTAGTTGATCAGATTTTTAACTATAAATTTTTCAAAAAAGACCTTTTATATTATTGCAATCCAGCCTACTGGATTACTGAAACTAAAATTCGTGTTTAATTGAGGTTAGTCAACTTTAAATATTACTTTCTCTTCATTGTACAGCTAAAAAGTACATTACCTTACTTAATATCATCCACATCCCTGATTGTTTTGGAAAAAATGCTCCTTTGGCAATTCATTAGCAATCACTACATTTGGACAAAGGAGTAAACTTTCACTTCCTATGTAAGATTTTCTTTAAACCCAGGTAAAGAACAGAAAATAATAATCTTAGACTTCCATCAAGCAAATGGAATTCCTGATGTGCAAGATGAACATCTGATTTTCCAGAATTGTAAGAAAGAAAATGCACAACTAATTTGTAACATTCTGGAATATAAACTTTTATTTAACCTTGGACTATATTTTAAAGTCAAATGATTGAAGGTTAAGGCTGAACTCCAGGTCTGATGGATTTTTCACCACACAAGGCAGATAAGCCCACACATTCCTCGCAGACCATTATGGAGTTTCATTCTTATTATGGTGAGAATCACAGAAGACAGATGAGATGCCTTATATCTAGCCATATCAAGGAGTTTAATGTGGGAATTATGGAATTTCTAAGCAATAATTTGTATAAGGTCTATTAACTATATTTTGAAATACTGAGTAGCGGCACACAGCTTCCTTAAACCCTCTACAGTATATACTGTAAGCCTAAGAACTACTTGGCTTTGCCTCTTAAACCATGTTTTGGGAGAAGTCCATGAAATACTCAGTTCCTCACTTACACTGAAGAACAGTTCTGATTTAAGTCTGAACCTGAGTGCCTCATCAGAAAATGTTATCCCAACAATACATTGGCAACTTTAAGTAACATTATAACTAAATCACATTCCCTTTTGATCGGTATGGAAACCATTCTGGTTAAGGGCTAAACAATGCTGGAAAAAGCAGCAATTAACATACTCCTGTCATTTTAAAATATACTTAAAATCAAAACATATATAGAGGTATACAAAAACAAAACTTTACACATCTGAAAATATCTAGTCCTTCCATACTTCACGTGATGAAAATTCTCTGGTGACTGGATCTGAACACAGAGCACCTGGACCACCATTATACTGAAGCACTGCCAAAAGAGCCACTAAAACAGAGTACTTAGTATTTCAGTGTCCTAAAATACAAAGCCAGGTTAACTGCTCCTATCAGTATTTCCTACACATCCACAGCTGCATAAGGCATTCCAAGAGGTCAGGGATTTGTTTCTCAGCTGAACTCACTTTGGAGTAATAATTAAGGATTTCCCCCCCCCCCCCAAGCAGTTTAAAGGATTATTAGCACAAATGCATGGTAGAATATGAAGGTTAAAACCACTCACAATATATTCCCTTCCCTACAGTCAGCTTCAGAGTAAACTTTATATTATACTGCATCTTTTGGTCAGTATGCATTTCAGGACATGCTATGGAGCCTTGCAGACATTTTAAAATATGTCTGGCCTTATAAAGGGTGCAAAATTGGGCATTAACCATTAATCTAATTCTTAATTGTCATGACATCACTGAGAGGTAGATTTACCACAGGCCTCTGAATGGCAGCCCCAATCTGCAGTCAGCAGAAGAGTGAGCTTCAAAATTCACAGAATGTACAACTGAAGGGCCAAGTGCGCCCGAATGCAGTCTATTGAAATTAGTCTTTTTATAAGATTCATAAATTCCACGATTTTGTACAGCCAATTTTTCCTCTTCTCTCTCCAAGGCAGAAATTGTAGTAAAAACTGGAAGGCCCTTAATTATGATATAGTCAGATGCTATTACAGTTTAAGCAGTCAGTAGGATCATATTCAGGAAATGAGACATTATCTCTTTCATCTAAAAATTCCAGAGTATATCACATATTCTTTTCCAGTTTCCTATAAAACATGAACACTAACAATCAACCTATAACCATTATAATTTAGAAATGGTACTGAATATAAGATTTCAGCAAGTCTAACATAACACTCAGAAGTTATGTACGTTTTACAAGTACCGTGCATAGCAAAGGCTACAAAAAGGACAAATTAAACTGGATAACTGGGCCAATTCAACTTGTCTTATTTTTCTTGAAAGATTTAAGATTTTGATTCTGTACATCATCAGGAAAGAAAAGGAAGAGTAATCCATAGTGCAATTGTAATAAGCAAAGTAATATGTAGTGATATCTTTTTGAATAAATATGGCTCACTACTGATCAACTATCATTCATACAGTTTCAGCAACACAGCCACCTGTTGCACAGACAGTTATACACAATTCTACAACAGGTGTATGTTCAAATAGATAATGAACTACATGGAAAAATATAAAAAGAATATTATACAATCTCATACATAAACCAGACTGTAGTGTAATTGCTTTACTTGTGTCTTAAGTTATCTGAAAAATACTTCAAGTACTTGAAAACAGCGGCAGAATCATCTTTCAATGAAAAGCAAAATTGCACTGATTTAAAAATACATTACAAAGTTAAATACACATTCAAATTAATGTCCTGATTTAACATTGCTTTCAGTGTTTACTTTCATTTCCTAGTACTTCTTGATTACCTGTGTTACTCCAGGAGGATCCAGAGTTTAGATAAAGAAGTTTCAGACACAAAGTCTGTGTGTTTCATACATGTAGTCCAAAGAAGTTTTAATTCATTTAATCTTTTTCTCCATCTTCACTGCTTCCTATTGGTAGAGAAAAGGTCAAAAGGTACAGTGAGATTCTTCGGCACAACTCTCACTTCTGTGTAAGACTTCCTAGAACTTGGCATTCTGCTGTTCCACACTTCCAAGTTTTGGTTAATCTTTCCCTACAGCTTTCACCTACTGTAAACATTTGGTACATTTATACACAGACATCTGCTTAAATCACACAGTTCAATGTCACTTCTTAGGACACATAAGGCAACGTACAATCTCCAAAATAATCTCTCTTATCTGTAAGTTACTAAGCAGCAAACATTATCTAATCAATAAGCACAATACAAGAACAATACAACTCTCTATAACACTGATTACATATTTATAGACACTGACCATTAGCAAGGCTAGCAACCAGTAACATCTATTTTTAATAATGCAACATTTTATCAAGATTAATAATATGCTGAACTGATTCAAGCCTGCTTATTTTTGCTTCTCTTAATTCTCAAAAATGTAGCAAAGTTTAAAAAAGCTTTTTGTTAGACAAGAAAGCTTCTGTTAATAAATACTGCTAGTACTCAGTAATGCTATGAACAGATTGTTTGGCTCTAACAGGAACTATCCTACTCACAGCTCTAGAAAACATGTTGCAATTCTTGAATGTCAAGAAAGTACTTTCTAAAAAGCAATATGAAAAGAAATCAACTGTAAAATAAGCTTAGAAAACAATGGCAGAAGCATTATATTCCTAGCATCCTCATCCTGTGCAACAAAAATAAAATTGTGACTTCTGACAGTGCAATAATGAGAATTATTCAACTGCCATAGTGTGGCAGCTATACAGAAGTGCTTAAGGACTGCAAAGATGTCATTTATATAAATACAGCACTAGGTTTTTGAACAGAAAAACTGTGAGCTTGTCCTGCAAGTGTCATAGATATTCAACCACAAATCTGTAGCAACACGGATGTAAATAATCTCATTCTAAATGGAAAGCTATGTCTTAACTGAAATACAAGACCATGCACAAATTTCATAGTGTTAAAGATGCACTTCTAAATTAATTATTTAAAATAGAGTAAGATGTCATATCTGTGACGTATCTTTGCATAAAGTTCTTAATTTGTAGTTTTAAAATAATTATTATAACTTACTTACCTCCTTGCTCTATATCTGAATCTGTAAGATGTGTGAGAGAAAAGCTTGCCATGTTTGCAGGAGAGATAGAGAATCTAGAATAAGGGGATGGATGTGACCAGTTCTGATCAAGGGCCCGGGAAGGTGGAGGTGGAGAGAAGTACTTTGACGACTGAAGAGGTGGTTTAGAACTAATAAGACTGTTAGCTGCCTTTGATAAAAAAGATGGCTCTGGAGAAGAGAAGTCATCATCCCATTCAAAACCCCCACCTTGCGGAAAGAAAAAAGAGGCAGTTTAAAATAATGTAAAGTCATATACAGTTTTAAAAGCAAGCCCCTGGAAGACAGCATTAACCCAAAACAAAACTTGTAACTTTTCTGTTCTAGTCCTGGGGGTCACAAAGATTTATCACCCATAGTTGGTTGCCTCTCAAAATACCCCAGACACATCAACATATAAACAAGGAGTATTTACATCACAAGCTTTGATAATCAGTAAGGCTAGGATCTCAGCCTAGCTGAAGTGTATGCTTAGAATGCAAAACTGAAGCCAATATGGTAGAGTGAATTCACAAATCACATAATTTAAATAACATTTCATTAAAGACTACACATAAAACAGTCTCAGCCCCTGCTGGGTATAAATATACTCCAGTACCTTCTTCATCTGTCGAGCTTTCCGAATTTGCAAATTTATTTAAGTAACTAAAACTCGAAGATGGAACAGGAGTGCTGCAAGAGCCTTCCCCGTTCAAGTCTGTTGCATGGTTTCCCAGCTCCTTAGTCGGTGTTTCCTAAGGCAAACAAAATAACTTATTTGACTCTCCTGTACTCACAATGTACCCATGCATATAGATAGATGCAAGCATGCCAAAAATACACTCCCCTACCCCCGCCTATGGAAATAAATGGTCTCTCAACTCTTAAATTAGCACCACACACCAAAACTTTGAGTTATAGATTAAGCATATGCATGTACTTCTATTTCTAAAGAAAACTGTATCAGATCTATGCTAAAATCCACACAGGAAATGACTGTTTAAATATTACAATATAAAAAGGTTTCATATTTCTAGGAACAAAGCTAAAATATCTTCCAATTGAAAACAGTTCCCTTATCAGCCTGACACAGGTAGGTTTTTTCCATCTTTAATAAAGCCTTATCCCATATCCCAACTTCTATTTTTGGGGGGGTTTTATATATATATATATATAAAAATATATATAAAAACATATACATATTTTTATATATATATATATATATATATATATATATATATATATATATAA